ACTTAGAAAGAAAATGGCAATGAAAATAGTGAACATCAAAAAATTTGAGGATATAGCCTATTTGGTATTTAGATGAAAATTTTTAACTTTGAATACATTTATATGGAGACTGAAAGTGTTAAAGAAAAACGGGGGGTGGGGAGAGTGAAACATTTAACTTAAGAAAATAGAAAAGAGCAACAGAACAAAACCAAAGAATTTAAAGGGATGGTTAAGAAATAAAGATAAGGGCAGAAATCAATAAAATATAGATCAAAAATAATAAAGATTAGTAAAACCAAAAGCTGGTTCTTTGAAAAGATAAATTAGCTAGACAGATTTCCCTAGCAAGACTTATCAAGGGAAAAAGAGAAAACATGTAAATAAAGTACAGAACCCCCAAAATTGGAAAATAATTACTGTTGCAACAGAGATTGTAAAATAATAATGAAGGGACATTATGAATAACTTGAAAACCTAAATGAAAATTTTTTTATAATTCTAGATATAAATTCCAAAATTGGCTTAAGGAATACAAAAAAATGAAAAGACCTAGTAGTATTTACAAAACTAAAGTGTCCCAAAAACTCCAGACCCAGCTGTGAGCCCTACATCATTTCCCCATGGAAACAGCTCCCCCTTCCTCTGCATGGAAGTAATGGGGCTGTCAACCCAGTAGAGGGCAAAGGACCTTGGCTGGACATTCCCAGTGCTCCATCCTTCGGGATGGGCAATCATGCCCAGAGTCCTTTGAGGAACCGATATGGACACTGAGGAAAAGGAGTGTCTCTCCTTCTAACATTATCAGCAAAAAAAATCAAACCCATTGCCATTGAGCTGATTCCAACTCATAGCGAGCAGTTAGAACCAAATAGCCTGGAGCTGCGGTGACCACTTCTGTCCCCACTCTCGAGAGACTTTTGAGAATAAAGCAGGAAAGCAGAACTGAGAAAGGGATGAAGGAGAGAAAGAGACAGGGGTCTGATAACCAACTGGGTGCTGCTAAATACAGCCATGCCTGAAACCCTCTCCACGTTTTAGAGCTCCCACTCATCAGATCCAATTAATTGGTTTTTTTTTTTTTTTTTTTTTTTGCTTAAGCCAGTTTGAGTTTGATCCCTGTCACTTGCAACCAAAAGAGAGCTAAAGAATGAAAATATGGGAAAGAAGGGAGGTCCTAGACTTTCGGGTCAGATGGTCCTGATTTGAATCTCAAGGGACGTTCTTAAATGAGACAATCCATGGGGGCACTTAACCAAAGCCAAACCCGTTGCCGTCGAGTCGATTCTGACTCATAGCGACCCTACAGGACAGAGCGGAACTGCCCCAATGAGTTTCCAAGGAGTGGCTGGGGGATTCAAACTGCCGACCTTTTGGTTGGCAGCCAAGCTCTTAACCACTGCGCCACCAGGGCTCCTGAGCGGATGTTATTGCACGTCTGTCTGTTCCACCAGACCAACGCCCCCTTGAAGGCAGCACCTTGCCTGACTCATCCCAGCCTGAGCTAAGCACCTAGTTCAGCCAAGGTGTCAATGTGCCGATAAAGGGCACCAGTGGCTTCTCTAGGAGCCCTGGTGGTGCAGAGCTTAAAGCGCTCATCTGCAAACTGAAAGGTCAGGGATTGAACCCCCCAAACGCTCTGAGGGAGGAAGGTGTGGCAGTCTGCTTCCATAAAGATCACAGCCTTGGAAACCATGTGGGGCAGTTCTACTCTGTCCTAAGTCAGAATCGACTTGACAGCAACAGGTTGGGTGGCTTCTCTGCCAGCTGCCACAGGGAAACCACAAACATTGACGCAACTCCAGCCACATTTTGATGTTAAAGACATCAAACGTCAGGGAACTGAATGCAGAGGAAAGGTAATTTGCAGCATGGCTGTGTTTACTCGGAAGCCTTAGAAAACCCTCCCATTGGTTAACGGTGAAGACAGTTGACCCCCCCTCTAACCATTAACCAGCAGGAAAGCTAGAAAACAAGATTTACTGGCAGCTGCATCCTGTCTGCTTACTGTACACCTGGGAGAAGCCAGGACAGGTAGGGTCAAGGACACTAGGATCAAGCCAGTAGGAGCAGCTGCAGCCCACAGCCAATCGTGAGTAATGCCTGGGAACCACCGTCCCTTCTGTTCTTGGCAAGCCCCCAGAACAAAAGAGAGACATTAGCTTGTTTCACATATAGGTAGATAAAGAGATACAGAAAATATATTATGTGTGTATGTATGCATTTATATGTGTGTGTATATATATATTTTAATGGGCATTGAGCAGTAGGGCAGACAGCAGCGGTATCAGAAACCAAGCAGAGGGTTTCCCCGGCTGTGGCTCATCCACAGAGGTTTGGATTTCCCCTGGGCTCCTGCCTTGCAGGGGCTAACACTGAGGGCTGCCATTAAGAGCCATCCCCATCCATTGCCATGACTGAGGCTCCTAAGCCCAGCCAGACAACGACAGTCACAAAGCAGGAGTCTGAGGGCGTGCACAAGGACTGGAGCCCAGCAGTGAGTTTTTATGTCAGAACGAGGGAACAAGAAGCACATGCTTCAAATAAAATTCATGAATAATATTGCTACTCTGTAGTTTTGCATTGCTGGGTCCTTTCCAGAGTCTCTTCTTCATCATCTTGCTTTCTGGAGCGAAAGGCAGCACGGCATGGCCCAGGCTCTGAAGCCAGACGCCAGGGCTGGATCCCAGCTCTGGATGGGTCACTCTGCCTCAGTTTCCTCCTCTGTAAAATGGGCCCAGAATGACTCATTAAGTGAGGTCGCATAAGCAAAGCATTCATAACAGCTGTGACCAGCAATCTTGTGAGGGGGTAGAGCTCTAGTCCAGATATTGGAGGGTTAACACGGAAAGGAATGAGGTATCGAATCTCCCCAGAGAAAGATGAAGGAAAGATGAAGGGGGGGGGGGTGGGGGGAGGGGAAGGAGCCACATTTGCAGTGCGCCCACCTGCTCCAGGCTGCGTGCTGCCCGTGGGCCTTGCACGGACAGTTGTGGAGGTGCTCATGCTAAAGCAGAGACTCCACTGCAGGGTGATAAGGGCAGTGACAGGGAAAAGCCCAGGAGAAGCGACTTCCTGGACACAACCTGGGATCTCAGTTCCAAAGGACAAGAGGGAGTGAGCTAGGCAAGGCAGGGAGGGGATGCTTCCACCCAGGCCTGGCCACATGGGGCAGTGCTGGAGCCAGGCCATCTTTGTCGCCAGCTCCCAACCCAGAGCCTGGCCCAGAGCCGGCTCAGCAAACAGTGGGAAACTGCCCTGCTCGGCCCCAACCCCCCGCAGAGGGATGAAAGTCTGGTGTGGGCCAGAGGCAACCCCAGATCCCAGCATGGCTGTGGCCGAAGCTTCTAGGGGCCAGATTTGAGGCTGGGGTCAGATTTGAGCACAGCTGTCACCAGGGACTGGGTCAGGAGGACTCCCGGGGCCGTGTTATCTAGTCTCAACCTCGGCTGTGGACAGTGAGGAGTCAGTGAAAATTTTTCAGCAAGAGAAAGGCCAATCAGCCTGAAATCTGGAAAGATCTTGTAGGTTCTTGCCCCAAAGATGCTGCCGGCTGCAGACAGGAGCGGGCTGAGGCAGCCTGGCAGGAGGTAGGGAGGCCAGGTGGGGACACTGCTCAGTCCTGGGAGCAATGCCCGGCCCCAAAGTGGGGCTACGCACTGGGACTGGAGAGGAGGGTTCAAACACCAGAAAAAAAGTAGAGGATCAAATGAGCAATGTGGGTATTATCAGCTCTCTTTTATACTGAGGAAACTGAGGCAGAGAGATTAAATAGTCCGTCCCGTGTCGCTGGGATCCTAATCCAGCTTAGTCTCGAGGAAACCCAGGGAGATGGAAGAATTGTCCCAAGGACACAAGGAGACGCAGCAATCCCAGCCCGAGCCCAGACCTGCGGTTCCAGGGGAGCAAACACCTGGCAGGGGCAGCGTGGAGGCCATCTGTGCTCATTTCCCCAAGTAGAGAAATGGGGAGCTCAGAGCAGCAGGCAGGTGGCGTTTCCCACATGTGATTGAAGACACACAGGTTAGGAGAAGGCTGAGGGGTCAGCGGTGTGCTTTCTCTGTCTCTCTCGAGGGCTTCATTCTGGAATGTGCCAGGGAAGGGCCTTGGGGCGTTCTGGAGCAGGCCAGTGGTTCCCGTGCTTCGGAGGGCATAACAGTCTCCCCGTCGCTTGCTTAAATGTGGATTGCCAGACCCTCCCTGGTGAGATGGTTTCCACAGGCGGGAGGTGCCAGGAAACCCTATTTAAGGTGATACAGGTGGTTCCATGCAACATGCTCGGGAACACCGGCCTTGCAGACAGAGCGTCCGCTTGCTGATTCTGACCTAAGCGTCAGCTTCCACCTACCTAAGATCAGGGTAATGTCTACTTGGTTGGTGTTTTGATGAGGGCTACCTAGGAGAATATAGGCACAACACCTAGATCAGTGCAGGGCACCTGGATTAAAACCAAAACCATACCCATTGCCATCAAGTCGATTCCAGCTCATGGTGACTCCGTGTGTTACAGAGTAGAACTGCCCTGTAGGATTTTCTTGGTTATAATCTTTACAGAAGCAGATGGCCAGGGCCTTTCTTCCAGAGTGTGGCTGGGTGGATTCAAATTGCCAACCTTTACGTTAGTAGTTGAACTAACTACTAACACTGCTGTCGAGTCTATTCCGACTCATAGCGACCCTATAGGACAGAGTAGAACTTCCCGGTAGGGTTTCCAAGGAGCAGCTGGTGGATTCGAACTGCAGACCTGTTGGTTAGCAGCTGAGCTCATAACCACTGTGCCACCAGTGCTCCGGCGCCTGGATGGAACTTGGTAAATTGTAGCTGGTGGGATTCACACATTTAGATGGGGAAACTGAGGTCCGGAGCCCTGCCCTGACCCTCCCCAGGTCACACAGCCATTATGGTGGAAGGGATGGGGCTCCAGCTGGGCCTCCTGTCCCCCCTCCACCTGCCCCGCTGTCTGGGTGGCCGCACCCTCTAACCAGCACTCCTGACTTGGCAGGGCCTGGTCTCCCAGGGCAATGCTGCTCGTCCCATACTCCTGCCTCCTGTGGCTGTCCACCAGTGGCTTCAGGGGCATCCAGGCTGAGAACCCCAGCCATGATGTAAACATGAGGAGCCCTCACCGTGGCCTGGCCCCAGCCAATGTTGACTTTGCCTTTAGCCTGTATAAGCACATGGTGGCCTCGGCTCCTGGCAGGAACATCTTCATTTCGCCTGTGAGCATCTCCATGGCCTTGGCCGTGCTGTCCCTGGGCGCCGGTGGTTCCACGCGGACCCAGCTCCTCCAGGGCCTGGGCTTCAACCTCACTGAGACCCCTGAGGTGGAGATCCACCGGGGCTTCCAGCACCTCCACCGCCTCCTGGGAGAGTCGGACACCAGCTTGGAAATGACTATGGGCAATGCGTTATTCCTCGATCGCCGCCTGGAGCTGCTGGAGTCCTTCTCAGCAGACACCAAGCACTACTATGAGTCGGAGGCCTTGGCTACAGATTTCCAGGACTGGGTGGGAGCCAGCAGACAGATCAATGAGCACGTCAAGAATAAGACGCAGGGGAAGATTGTGGACCTATTCCCGGAGCTGGAGAGCCCAGCCTCCCTCATTCTGGTCAACTACGTCTTCTTGAAAGGTACACCCTACCTACCCAATTTGGACAAGGCCCCATCCACCATTTGTAAGAATAGTAACAGTAGGTTAATCATCATTTACTCCTAGCCACAAGGCATACCCTCCAGCTCTGAGGACCCAGACTTCCTTAGAAGGATGATTTGAGAGCCCCCAATTATCCCACTTGCTGTGAGACAGATGGACTATGAGTTGACCCTCAGTCGGTATCCAGTGTCCAAGAGGTCATAACGATGCACCGGGCACCAGCTCCTGGGAGCCCAGGCTCTGGGTCTGTAGCTCTCTCTCCCTTGTCCCCCAGCCTCTCTCTGTTGTCTCCATTAGTAGCCATTACAGAGAGTCTGAGGCTGGCTCAGAACTAAGGGTTTGGGCCACACAGTGCATAGATCCCGAGGCACAGACAGTGGGATGGAGAAGGGTGTGCCTGGAGCTATGCTCTGGCCGCCTCTAGGCAGCCTCAGCTGGGAAATGGTGGTCTCACGAGGGCTCAGGGCTTGAGGTCAAGGGCAGCGAGGACACGTGGGACCCACTGGACTCAGGGTCCCAAGTCTTCTCCAGGACGGAGGCGCCTTCACCTAGAGCGGAGGAGGTTCTGGCAGGACTCAACATGTGTCTTTAAATTTCAGAGGGCTTAGGCACTTGTCGTTCAGTGGTAGGATTTTCCCTTCCACGCAGGAGCCCCGCTTACAATTCCTGGCCAGTGCACCTCACACCCAGCTACCATCTGTCTGTCAGTGGAGGCTTGCAAGTTGTTATGATGCTGAATAGGTTTCAGCAGTGCTTCCGGCCTCAGATGGGCTCGGAAGAAAGGCCTGGTGATCTACTTCTGAAAATCAGCCAGTGAAAACCCCATGGATCCAACAGTCCTATCCTGTTGGCTCAGTCTAAGGAACGATTTGCTTTCCACTAGAGCTGACCAGTAATGGGATTTCCCTTTGTGAGGGTAGTGAGTTCCTCATCATGAGGCCACCAAAAGGGCTGGCTAACAACATGGTGGAACACGGTAGAGGGGATGTGAGGGGGGTTGGAGCAGGTGACCTTGAAGGGGTCTTCTCACCCTGACTCGGCCGAGCAGGAAATGTGATTTGTACCCAAGGGGCAAAGCAATGTAGTCGGGACTTTCCAGGGGGCCATGGAGCAATTCTCCCTGAGTACAACCAACTGGTCCAGACAGGCTGCCTGTCTGGGCCTCTGTGACCAGGATGCCAAGAGACGGGGATAGAATGGATGGCCTGTCCCCTCAAACCCTCCTGGAGAGCTTAAGGTCACAGCCTGAATCCAGCACTGCCTCCCAAAGAACCCAAACCCGTTGCCGTTGAGTCGACTCCAACTCATTGTGACCCCATGTGTTACAGAGTGGAATTGCTCTGTAGAGTTTTCTTTCTCTTTTTTTTTTTTTAATTGTACTTTAGGTGAAGGTTTACAGAATAAATAATTTCTCATTAAACAGTCAGTACACATATTGTTTTATGACATTGGTTAACAACCTCACGACATGTCAACACTCTCCCTTCTCGACGTTTTTTTTTTTGGTGAAAATACACATAGCCAAAGATATACCATTTCAAAAATTTCTACATGCACAATTCAGTGACATCGATTATGTTCTTCCAGTTGTGCTGCTATTCCCACTTTAGATGAAGGTTTACGGAACAAATAGTTTCTCATTAAACAGTTAGTACATATATTACCCTTCCATAGAGTTTTCTTGACTGTAATCTTTATGGGAGCAGATCGCCAGTCCTTTCTTCCCAGGTGCTTCTCGGTGGGTCTTTCTATTAGTAGTCCAAAACTTAACCATTTGCACCCCCAGGTCTGCCCGCACCACCTCCTGCATCCTCAAGCATGGGACCCACTCCAGGCCAGGGGGAGAATGAGGCAAAGTCTGGTTTCTGTGAATCCTAGAAGTCGGTCTCAGGAGCGGAGCTAATCCTCCCATCCAAGACAGACTGCTTTAAACCTCCGGGAATGTTTGCATTTTACCAGGAAACTCAGGTCTCGTGGGGCATTTGGGCGTGAGGCAGGGCTGGTGCCTGCATTGTCTGAGCTGTTGTTCCCTCCCTGGGCCTTGTTCCATATGCCGCTTCTTCCTGCTTTCCAAACCCTCCCTCTTCCCCCAGGCACGTGGGCGCAGCCCTTCGACCTGGAGAGCACCTCGGAGGAGGACTTCCATGTGAGCAAGACGACCACAGTGAAGGTGCCCATGATGTTCCAATCCAGCTTCATCAAGTACCTTAATGACTCGGTGCTCCCCTGCCAGCTGGTTCAGCTGGACTACACAGGCAACGGGACCGTCTTCTTCATCCTTCCGGACAAGGGGGAGATGGACACAGTCATCGCCGCGCTGAGCCGGGACACGATTCAGAGGTGGTCTGAGTCCCTGAGCTTGGGGTAAGCCCTGGACGGGTCACGCAATATTTGCAGTAAATGTGGTCCCAGGAAGTGGGCAGGTGGAAACGGGTGCACCTGGGCGCCCCTCTGCCCACAGACTAGCCCTCCATGCTGCTGGGTTCCCAAAGGCCGTGCATGGGCTTCTCCGACCTAGAGGCCACACTTCTTTATTGATCTGTCACACGGAGCTACTCTGGAATATCCCATAAAGTGTGGTCATTCCCCCTTTCCCGTGAGGTTAACAGTCACCCTGCGTGTCGTCACACATTTGCATTATTTTCTTAAACCAAGCTCACCCAGCCCCCTACTTGTCCATTTCATTATCTTGCTTACCTGAAACCAAGCACTGATAAAGATTCAGGATCCCCCATAAAAATATAATGAAAATGGCCTCCATCCCCAGCGTGGAACCAATGCTAAGCCTATGGATGGTTCTCAAGTCAGTCAGGGGCTAAGTCTTCTTCCATCAACCAGTCCGTAAATAAGAAAGTGAGGACATACACAGGCAATAAGTAAAAAGAGAGCAGAGAGGGGCACGCTGGTGCTCGGGGCTGGAGGCACCTCTGAACCAACAACAGACCCCTCTCTCTACCCCCGGACCCAGTACAGGGGTAAGTACACAGTGGGCACTCAGAGAGGTTTGGCTGAGCGCCAATGAGAGGTGAATGAATGAATGAATGAATGAACTCCTCACCCTCCTCACAACTGGCACCTCTGAGCTAGATGGCAATCAAAATCGTGGTCCAGCGGGTATCCAGCCCCACTGTCACCTCGGGGGAGGGAGGCGAAGTTCTTGAGAACCCGGTCCTCGTTCTTGGGTAGGTTCAAGTTCTGTCTATGCCCAAGCAATCAGAATAAAGCCAACCAACGTGGAACCTGGTGGCAGGTGGGGACACGCAGACTCAAAGGGCAGAGGGGATCCAGGGGAGCTAGCGGTCCCTTAGATCTGGAGAAGCCCAGGAAGGCTCTTGGAGCAGGCAGCGTTTCATTCATTCATTCGTTCAGTAAACGTAAATAGAAGTGCCTGCTACGTACCTTGCGCTAGGCTAAGCACAAGGATAAAATGGTGAAAAAGAAAAACTGTGGGTTTCAAAGACATACACTCTAGAGCAGAAAACAGATGCTGGTGTAATTAACAGTAGTGCAGTGATGTAAGTTCTCTCAAAGGGGTGGTAGCTGTGTGTGAAGTGCTGCTGGAGGGTGGGACGCTTGTCTCTGCCTGGGGGACTGGAGAGGAGGCAGCAGAATAGATTGCTTTTGCTTTGCATTTTGCCTTAAGCCTGAGTGGGAGTTCAGAGTTCAGCCAATAGGAAGCAGACCCTAGGGTCTCCCAGGAACAGGGAAAAGTATCAACAAGTTAGGGTGGCCATGCTGTGTAAACAGAAGGCAATCAAGTCCACACTCGGGGCTCCAGCAGTGCCCAGCAGCAGCAACAGACAAATTCAGCTTGGATGACCCTTGTAAGCCAAGAATTTCACACAAAAACTAGAAAGAAGCTCTTCTACTCTATTATTCTTGGAAGTTTTGTGTACTTTCGAAAAATCAGCCATTGAAAACCCTGTGGAGCGCAGTTCTACTCTGACACGCATGGGGTTGCCATGAGTCAGAATTGACTCAATGGTAACTGGTTACT